TGGCACTCTGCCCCTGCGAGGTCCTCCTTTGCCCTGCACCAGGCCCGTAGTACAGGTGACAGTGTCCGCTGAGGTCTCTGTCTCGGCGTCCAAACGTGGGTTCTACTCAGTGGTCTCTGGCGAGCCTGTGTTACTCCTGCAGGCCAGAGTCGTCAGTGAGTTTTTGTTCCTTTTGGTCTGTGATCCCATGAAGAGCTCGTTAGGTTTCCCGAGGTGCCTGGTGATTTGATGAAGACTAAGAGTGAGGTTGATGGTGGAAGGTTCCCAGTTCTGGCCCCGGCGGAGGCTCCCAGGGAGAGAGTGACGAGCCAGCCTCTCACGTGTCAGAGGCAGAGGGTGCCCTGTCTGTCTGGTGATTCGGTGGTCCTCGTGGGGAAATCTGGCTCTGAAGGTATGGGTCACAGGATTGTCATCTCTGCACCAAGGCCGTTGCCTAACACCCGGGAGCAAGCGCTGTCTTACAAAAATCCTCAAAACAGAGGAAGAGAATGCCCCTTCCAATGGCAGAGGCTCAGCTCAGGGGCCCGAATCTACCAGGAGAGCCAGATGTGTTTGATGCATGCATGGAATGGTAATGAACCAGTTCCTCCTCCTCTCTCCACTTTCCTTATTGAAGTTTAATTGCTTGTTAAAATTAGGCCTTTGGCCTTGAGCCTGGCTTCCTGGACTTACAAGCAAGACTTGTGAGGTGTAGACAAGTTTCATTTCTCCAAGACCTGTAATCAGGCTCCTGCCTCTTATTTAAACAGTTAGCTTCGGGAATAACAGTGTACACAGAGCCACTTTAAACTCATTTCTGGTTCCTCATAGTGCCCGCCAGGCACGGTGCTAGCTACTGAGTTGGAACTTAGTAAACACGGGTGGATTGATTTAGCTAACTCTGCGCAGTATCCTGCTGTGGCAAAGTGACTGCGTTTTGTTTTTAGTCATGACACGTGTGCTGATTTCTACCAACCATGTCCACTGCCTTTAAAACAAAAAGGCAGATGGTAAGAAAGGATTACGTATTTGTTAAGGGGGTCCTGTTCTTCCCTTTGATAGCCATGATCCAAACCGCAGGACTACTTTAAGGTGGGACTGTGTTCTCCCAGGGAGCACCTACAAAACTGTGTGATGCAGGTCTGCCAGGTGGAAGGTGCTGGATCAAATGCAGGCTTTCAGCACCATCTGTGTGACCTTGGACAGGTTACTCAGTCTCTCTGGTCATCACTTTCTCCATCTCTATAATGGTAACAGTGAGAGTATCTACCTCTTAGGGTTATTACAGGGGTAAATGAGATGATATGGAAGTTAAGCCCAGTGCCTGGAACATAGCAAGAACTCAACAAATGCCAGTTATGAGTACTGTTCTAAACCTTGGTGTCAAGTACTATGCTCAAAGGATGAAGTTTAGAATAAACCAGAACAATGGAAACTGTCTGTATTTCAGGGCAAGAGGATTCAGAGTGATCATTTCCTTTAATGGTGTAATGGCATTTAAATAATAAATTCAGAAGGGCTGGTGTATTCGGCAGGGGCTGAAGGCTAAGTCAGAGGAGGTGCAAGATCCTGATGGTCAAGTGTGTTCTTGCTTGGTGTGATGGTCCACTCGCCCACAGGGCCTGGCACTTGGTGGGCCCTCTGGGATGGATAGCTTTTGGTTGTAGTTATTTCAGGTTCCTGGAATGTCTTTGCAGACTTAGGGAAAAAGATTGTATGTATTGTTTAGGTTCCAAGGCTGTGTTTGTGACAGTACTTTTTGGTCTACCAAGGCCGATGTTTGGAAAGTAATCAGTTACTGCCATAATAAGGCTGTAGAACAAATGACCCCAAAACGCAACAACAGCTTGAAACAACAAACGTATATTTTCTTTGTGCTGGGGGTTGGCCGATCTGGGCTGGGCTGGGCTCCAGGCTGCAGATTGGGTCTGGGTCTGTTCATCCTTCTTGGACCAGCAGGCTACCTGGGACATGTTCTTCTTGTGTTGGCAAAAGCACACGAGGTCATGCTCAGTCACCCAAGCGTATCTCAAGCTGTTGCTTCCGTCACCTCTGCTGACCTCCCATTGGACAAAGCAAGTCAGATGCCCGAGGCCAGGCTTGAGGGGTGGACGGTGCCCTGCAGAGAACTGCAGGGTCACATGATCACAGGGTGTGGCTGCAGGCAGCTGAGAAGAACTGGGGCTACGGATTCAGTCTACCTGGTTCCTCATTTGACTTCCCCAACTTAGTCATTGCAGTAGATGATATGAAAGGGCCTTGCTTGCCGTAGGCAGTTCTGTGGTTCCTGGTACCTGCATTAAGCTGTAGCATGTGAGCACATTGCAAATCCCCCTCTGGTCTCTAGGAGCCCTTCCTCTGACGGACAGGAATTTACTCTACTGTAAACTAAAGAGTCCCAGTTTAGACAGACACGATGGATTAGGCAGACAGCATCATTGACCTGGTTCCACTTCGTTAGCCTTTCCAATTAAGGCGGATGTTGCTGGAAGTGAGGCCTCGCAGATATATAGTCACACCTTGAATGACTCTGGACTGAGCTTAGAGACTTCTGTTTCCAGTGTGCGCAGAGGAGGGAGAGAAAATTTTTGTTGGCAAGTGCATCCTAAGTGTTAATGATGTGGCCACTTGTGAGTACTTTATCTTCTTCCTGGCTATTTAATTAAGATGCTAAATAGATAGCATTTGTGCCTTTGTTTTCCAAGAAGCTTTTTAGTGAATCTTGAGCCCCTGGCCGTGCACTGATAGGGTCTCTGATCTTGGAACACCGAATAAAGAGTTGGTGCTTCCCTGTGTCTTTGAGGGACCTGGCTCTAGGTTTTATTGGCACAGTGGGTGGGGATTTCCTGTGGCTTCCCAAGGAAGGTCTTTTCCAGTGGAGTTGTTTTTAGGGGTTCAAGATGGCATTCTCCCCTCTTCACCCTCTAGACATTCTGAGCAATGAAGCGTAAGTCCCATACAGTAGCCAAATGGGCTGTGAAGTACAGCTTAATTAATCTGGGCACGCACTCAACAGCCCAGCGCAGCGCTTTGCTAGAACTTGGCTTTGAGATTGAGGTGAATTTTGAGGATGAGATACAGCTTCTTATCTTCTGGCTGTTTTTGTTGTTTGGTTGGTTGGTTGGTTGGTTGGTTGGTTGGTTGGTTTTGAGACAGGGTCTTGATCTATTGCCCGGATTAGAGTGCAGTGGCATCATCGTAGCTCACAGCAACCTCAAACTCCTGGGCTCAAGCGATCCTCCCGCCTTGGCCTCCCAGAGTGCTAGGACTATAGGCATGAGCCACAGTGCCAGGCCCTTAATTTCTAAACAGAATCAAGATGGTGAGATCTGAAGAGACAGAGAGACAGACGGAGACAGATTGCTCTCGCCCGGACCACAGTCCCCGAACACTCTCACTCCCTAAGCACCGTGTACCAGGTCTGACGCGCACGGCCAGCCCCAGACCAGGAGGATGGTCGTGTCTTCTGCAGACAAAAACAGGCCCTGCCCAGTGTGTGCTTGCTTAACGTATGGAAGCAGGAAGTACAGGGTCCGCTGTCCTGCATACGAGTGATAAGAGAGCCTGCTCGCTTGGTAAGAGTGGCTCCGTGAACGTTGGGTTCTCACCAGTTACAGCTGCCACTTCTTCACCCTTGGGAAGGGGCGAGCAAGAGTTTGAGGAGAGAGCCTGAAATATTTCCTTTGGGATGAATCCAAGTTCCTTTATGGACCAAGGCTGCACTGTGGAAAAAGGGGTAGAAAATGTTCCCGTCAGTGTTTTCCTGGGTATGTGGAATGTTCGCTGTCTGGGGGGAATGTGAAAATAAGAGGGAGACGTTCTCTTGGCAAGTTCCTTTGAGCTCCACCAGTGGGGAAGGGCTGGGAATTGGACTCCAAACTGGAATTGGGGGACAGTGAATGCCTCATGTCGAAAGAAAGGGCGGAATTGACCAGAGCCCCACGTGTTCCGAGATCCTGCCTCTGCTGCCCCTCACAGTCAGGCATCGTTATAAAGATACCATAAAATGGTGATTGAGACAGTGAGTGGCAGTTCACCTAGCATAGGGGTTTAGGAGTTTCCAATTTCCCTGCACTTCCTTCTTGTGCACAGTTTAGGCCCGTGGGCTGGTGCTGATTTGTATTGCTTCCTACAAGCCTGTGTTGGAAAATCTGCTAAAATAAAGCAAAGCTTGCAGCTGGGGTTGTACTTCAGGGGCCCTCACATCATACCCATTCTCGGTAAGAGGCAACTGAAGCTTGTTTTTTTCCAGAATCATGAATCTGAGAGGGTTACATTCAGAGCAGACACGGTGTAGACAAAAATAGCCTTTATGTGCTGGGTTTCCTGTTTTCCTTGGAAACCACTCACTGAACACCACCACCTCCTCCCGTCAGCCCCTTCCTCCTCCTGTGCCCACCCTGTCTCTGCTCCAGCCCCCGGAGTTCGTGCCTAATGAGCCGAGACAGTACCACCAACTTTCCCAGTCAATTGGCTTTTGTAGAGAGGGAATGAATGGGACGTTTCTCTGGCCTTCTCTAGCCTAAAAAGGATCTTCCCGGGCCCATTGGAATGTGCCCTTCATACCAGGAATTAAGCTCCTGTCTCATTGCTTCTCTCATTCTTTCAAAGATCAGACACAAACTGATGGCCTTGCCCCTAATCAGGACTTTATATTCTTTCAGGTTTATTTCTGATCCTCTTACGGGCCCAACTTCTCCTGCATGCAGGGATTTGGACGCACTTTGTGATATTTGGCAAGGGGGTGCTTTGTTTCTGTGTGCCTTTACACCTCATTGTTCTACAGGATCTCCATGCGGGTGTCCCCTTAGTGAGAAACTCAAGCGTCCTTCCTCACTTGGGCGTGGGGGATGCGTTGGGGGGTGCAGATGGGGCCACGCTGTTCTGACGTCTCTGTAGAGTAGGGGGGCAGCATCGGGCCGCCCTCCCGTGGGGTTGCCTGCGTGCCGAGGACGTCAAGCTGGGGTAGCAGGTTAACTTTTCCCCGTTGCTCATGTGTGTTTTCTCCTGTCTTCCCACAGGATCCACACCCCCCGAGCCCGCTGATCACGCTGGAGGCCCAGGTGAGTTTCTCCCCAAGGTCCTTGTCACTCATGCCACTCTGCCTTGATGTTCCTGGAACAGCCCTCTCTCGAGCGGGCGTTTGTGCATCCTCTGGGCCCCGTGGCTCGGAAAGGCTGGACAGGTGCTTAAGGCTGCCCTCCTGCCCCGTGTAGGGCAGTGGACGCATGTCTTCATACACGTGTGCGTGTGCACACATGTCACTGTGCGGGTGTGCACACGTGCATGTTCGCACCCGGGTGTCTGATGACACCTCCTACCCGTGGCAAGAACCATGACCGTTTCATCTGAGTTTTCCTCTGTCCTTTGCTCCTCCTTGCCCCTGACCGTCATGAGGAGGGGAGTGCAGGGCAGGGAGGACATGGAAGGGAGCCCCGAAGTGGGAAGATGTTGCTCTTCCCTGTCTTTGGATTTGGGTGACTTTTCTCCTTGGCGGTTGGGCAGCAGCACCCAGCTGCCACAGAAGGAAGTTGCGTCCGTCTGTCCGCTTGCACGTTAGGCCGTTCTGAGGAACCCCGACCACAGGGGCATTTCCATGTAGGGCAGAGGATGCCCAGTGGGCCTTGCAAGGCAGGGCACGGCCCTTACTGTCCACTCTCTGCTTTCCCGGGGGATAGGGCAGCCCGGCAGCTAGGAGTGTGGGCCTGGGAGTCCAACAGACCCAGGTGGAATTCCAGCTCTGGGTCTTTCAGCCCTCTGTTGTCCATGGGGCCCCTTCTGTGAGCCATCACTTTTCCATCTGGGATATCAACACGGTTACGGTGCCCGCCTTGCAGGGCTGTGGTTGAGAACCACAGGAGAGGATGTGTATAAAGTCAGCCGTACCAGCTAAGTGCTTGTGAGTGTTGGCTTTTAAACCAATAGAACCGTTACCTTTCCTACTGGATCTGCAGAGATATGTGTTTGGATGGATCACTTCCTCAGCTCTCTGGGTTGGTCAGACAGTAAGAGAGAAGGCGGGCAGGCTGGGCCCGACTCAGGTCCCACAGCAGAGAGTTCTCGGCTGTCAGACACAGTCAAACCTGTTTGAACCTTGAATGAGAGCTCTGCAGTTCCAGGGGCTTCTGGAGTGTTCTGGCAAAGACCACCTGCCCCCCTCACCTTTCACCTTTCCCCTTGGGCCCTTGGCCTCTCCTGGCAATCCTGCCTGTGTCTTCCCAAGGGAAGAATTCCTGCTTCTCCCTCCTCGATCAGGACGGCCACAGGTTATGGGGAGAGTGGATCCAGGGGTTTCTTTGTGCCTGTCTGTCCTCTCGTTCCCCGCACATGCGTCAAGATGTCGGCTCCAGGGTTGCCCAGGCAGCCGGGCTGGCCGAAAGGAACACGGGTCATGGCTTGGAGGGGGGGGGGCCAGTTTCCTCTGCCGGTTTGGTCACGTTTTGGTCTGGCTCTGCCCATTCTTGTCATTCCCAGACCACCTTGGCCATGTTTGCCATGTTTGAATTTCATCTGCTTACCTAAGTCACCTAAAAATGCATTTTTCCTTAGCCTAATGCACTTTACTTTCAGAAATAGACTAGCCTAAGTCAATGGTTCTCAACCAGGGAATGATTTGGACTTGGGACGTTTGGCAACATCTGAAGACAATGTTTGGTTGTCTGACCTGGTTGGGGGTGGGGTGGGGAGGTTTTGCTCCTGGCCTCTAGAGGGTGGAGACCAGGGATGCTGTTAAATACCCTACGAGCCCACAGCGGCCAAATCCCCACAGGAAAGAATCATCCGTCCCCAAGTGCTAGCGGCGTCGAGGTTGAGAAAGGCTGTCTCAAGCAGTAATGTTGGTGGAATCACAAGTTTGAAGTGCTGGTTGTGTTTTTTTAGCACACCATTGAAATCAATATTCAACTGTGAAGATAAAAATTAAGATTTCCTTTGGGCACTCTCTAAAATCATCCAGATGTGCTCTTCCAAAGTCCACGTGCCACCCTTGGGAAACACGTCTCTCCCCAGTCTACCCGACGGGTGATGAGAGAACTTCCAGGTTGTGCTATTAAAATGATGGCCCTTCTCTTCTGTATCCATCCTTCCCCAGAAGGAGAACTTACTAGGCTTAGGAAAGCCCACTGGCAAACAGTCTGTATCTGGAACTCCGGAAGCCGGATCTCATCTCATCTCTTGGGGGTGGTGCAGCTGCAGCGTGGATGGTTCTGTCCCTGGCTCCCCTGCATCCCTCCCTCTGGACACCACCCAGTCACCCTCCAAAACCTCGTGGGACACAGCATTCACATGCCGATGGCTTAGGCCAGCATGTGAGGGTGACAGTCCCCTCACCCCTGCTCAAGTCACATCCATTAGCCCAAGGGTCTGGGGCCTGATCTGCATCCAGCAGTGGCACGAGGCGGACTTCCCACATTTGTGCCACGCCACTGGGGAAATGACTCAATTTGTCTGCAAACAATGCTCCATCAGTCTCATCTGGTTCTCATTCTTTGGGGAGCCGTAGGATATTGTTGTCTTTCCCCGAGTTCTGATTTCCTGTGTTAAAGAGACATTGGAACCCAACCAAAGTGCACATTTTTTTTTTTTGTCACTGTTGGCACAAGCCTGTGGCCAGATCCGACTTTGTGCTGGGCCTCAGCCCATCGTGGGGTGAACAGTGGGATCCTGTTCGGCTGCCTGCAGGCAGGTCAGACGAGCGCGGCAGGCATGGGGTTCTGGCAGAGAGCAGTGCCCCAAATGTTGCGCATGTGCCGTGAGCAAGATGCAGGGGTGGCCGAGCTTGGAAGAACCAACTAGGGAGAGGTACGGTGGCAGATGTGCTCTGGGCCCTAGGTCAGTGCCACTTCCTCCTCCAGTGCCCTTTGCTTTTAAGGTCGGTGTTCCCTGCTCCATCCTCCAGCCCGGCTGCCACAGGTGGGCCTGCCTGCAAGACTTCAAGGCGTCTCCTTGCACCACGCATCAGCAACGCGGCTTGCCCGGGCCCAGCCTGCACAGGAGCACTGGGCCACCCGGGGCCCCTTTCCTCTGTGCATCCCTCTTTCTGGTATGAATTGCAGCGGCGCTCACCCATTGCTTGGTGAATCTGTCCCTGTGCAGCTGTTCTGAGTTGGGGGAGATGGATTGATTGGCTGTCGAGGCCGCCTCTAATGCTCTCCGCCATTAGCACAGCGGAGCTTTGCATCTGTTGGCATCAGCAGGCCTCTCTGCTTAACGGCCAGATTAATAGAACGAGGAAGCCGAGTAAGGTTTAAATCCCTGGTGTCAGCTTTTCCCGCAGCAGGCTGTCCCTGGGGATATACCAAAGAAGCCCTGGCTTGCAGTGGCAAGCACCTCTCTGGACTCCAGATGGTGGTTACCCAGGAACCAGGTGACCTAGAAATGGAAATTTAAAAAAAAAAAAAGGTCTGAAAGGAGTTTTGAAGTTTGAATTTGGTTAGCAGCTTGGTGGCATTATTATTCTCACCCTCGCTAACATTTGCCATTTGCCAAGAACTGGCTTCTCCCGTGGAATCCTCAAATGCCACAGTCACATGGGTGTTCTTAGGATGCCCAGTTTTCAGATGACAAACCTAAGGGTCAGAGAGGTTAAGTCACTTGCCCAGTGTCACACAGGAAGCACATAGCATTGGTGGATGTTACACTCAGGGTTATATGACGTCAGAATCTGTCATCTGAACCACGATCCTATTTTGCCAGAAAATAAAGTTTCTATGACTAGTGGAAAGATTTGCAGATGGTCAGGCAGAGCTGGAGGGATGGGCTTGATATATGCAGTCCAAGGTCCATAGATGGATGGATGGCTAAGCATGCTTTGCACATGTGTCCACAGATGTACTTAGATACATAGGTGGAGAGAAGTGTGGTGGGTGAGTGGATGGATAGATACTTAGTTTTGAACAGTGAGTAATTTTTTTGAAAGATGGGTTGCCAGAGGGCTTGTGGGTAAAACGGTTTAGGCAATGAACCCAGTAGAAAATTAATTTTAAAACAACAGAAACGAACCATGTCCCAGCACGTCAATAGTGTTTTGATAAATTTGAATGCTTATTATTTGATTCTCTCCTCATCGATCCCCAAGACAGTTTATTACTTCTGAATCCACTCCAGTTGGCAAGATCTCTTGTCATTTAATTCTGGCGTCTCTCCTCCCTCCCCCAACTTCACAACGGCCTCTCTGTCAATTTGTTAATGGCCTCTACGCAAACACCGAGATGCCGTGGGAACTGCAAAGTAGCTCTTTTGCAGAGTAAAGATTTGTCAGTCTGGGTACTCGTGAAGTCAGCTCCAGGCAGATGAGAGCAGGGCTTCTTTTACACCGAGACCCCATCCCAAGACGTCACAATCAAGGGTCCCCAGAGGAGCACTCCCAGTTTATCAGCGTTCAAAACCAACTAGATAGTTGAATTTCTCTGATCAACTCACTGGGGGTAGAGAAGAGGGAAAGACATGCACATTATGTAAAGGTGACGCTGGGGGCCATGAGATTGTGAACAAGGTCATGTAGAAAATGAGTAGTGGATGTAAAAGGAAACTTATACTTTAAAAATTATATTTATTCATCTATTTTCTTATTCAGTAGATATAAATAACTATGGGGCCATGTGGAGGCCAGGCCTTACGCTAGACTCTAAGGATCTAGCCGTGAGCAAGACAGAAGGTTCCTTTGCCCATGAAGCATCCATTCTGGTTGTGGGAGTCTGGTGAAGAATATGCAGATAAATAAATGCACCCATAATTTCAAGTGGTAACGAGTGAGTGGAAATTAGACAGGTGTGTTTGTAAGAGAGCTTGAGTGGGCAGAGGGGAGGGGGTTATTAAGCAGCGTCTCTCTGGACCTGAGAACTGAGTTGGGGAGGTGAGGTTTGGGCTCAGGAGGGGAGATCCAAGCTGAGAGCTCACCGTTAAGATAGAATTAACCTTGCAAAAAGACCGCAGTAATAGCATTCTGAAAATTTTGCATATTATGTCTGAGTTCATATAAAAATAATGCCAGTTTTCCTTAGACTCAATTAAAGTGTTAGCTCCTTCAAGCTCGGTCCTTGCCTTTGTGTCATTATAGTGTCAA